CAAGTGCCTAACCACCATTACTAGCTAGCTGGGTATAGTGATTTTAAGACTAGAATGGTCAAGTGCCTAACCGCTACTACTAGCTAGCTTGATATAGTGATTTCAAGACTAGAATGGTCAAATGTCTGACCGCACTACTACTAGCTAGCTGGATATAGTGATTTTAAGACTAGAATGGTCAAGTGTCTAATCGATATTACTAGCTAACTGGATATAATGATTTTAAGACTAGAATGGTCAAGTGTCTGACCGCGCTACTACTAGCTAGCTGGATATAGTGATTTTAAGACTAGAATTGTCAAGTGCCTAACCACTATTAATAGCTAGCTGGGTATAGTGATTTTAAGACTAGAACGGTCAAGTGCATAACCACTATTAATAGCTAGCTGGATATAGTGATTTTAAGACTAGTACGGTCAAGTGCCTAACCGCTATTACTAGCTAACTGGATAAGTAATTTTAAGACTAGAATGGTCAAGTGTCTGACCGCTGTTACTAGCTAGCAGGATATAGTTATTTTAACACAAGAATGGTCAAGTGCCTAACCGTTATTACTAGCTAACTGGATATAGTGATTTTAAGACTACAATGATCAAGTGTCTGAGAGCTATTACTAGCTATCTGGATATAGTAATTTTAAGACTAGAATTGTCAAGTGCCTAACCACTATTAATAGCTAGCTAGATATAGTGATTTTAAGACTAGAATGGTCAAGTGCTTAACCTTTAGTATTAGGTAGCTGGATAAAGTGATATTAAGACTAGAATGGTCAAGTGCCTAACCGCTATTACAAGCTAGCTGGATAAAGTGATTTTAAGACCAGAATGACCTCTTGCCTAACCGCTATTACCAGCTAGCTGGGTACAGTGATTTTAAGACTATAATGGTCAAGTGCCTAACCGCTAATATTAGCTAGCTGGATATAGTGATTTAAGGCTGACCGCTGTTATATCCGCTCACCCGTCAGGGTGTATTCTCTAGTTCTCCGAGATACTTAATAACAGAGACACTGCCTTTCTGCCCCTTACGTAGTAAAATCTGCGCAGGTGGTATAAAGGCAGCCGACACTTGTACCAACTTGTACCAAAGGCCGACAACTACGCCATGTCAGCTATTGAAACGTGTGCGCAAAGCCCAGAACCACGTGCGAAACATGCAACAGTCTCACCTAAGCATAGACATCCCTATGGCTGCGGTGTTGGGGTATCCAGCAGTGGCACTATTGTGCAGAGTCTCATGCTTGAGAGTGAGACCTAATGGAGTATGAAGTTAAGCAGAGGGGTGTATAGGTAATCAGGTGGGTGGAGAGTGTTAGGTGTAGTGTTGAACTCATACGGATTCATACTGACCAGCTAAGTCACCGAGACGACCCATCACATCACACGGGGCACCCGCTGCACAATATCTCGGCGATACGCATGACCAGAGAATGTTTGAATAGCATAGTCAGACCCTAGACCGTCGTTATGAAACACTCTGTGATCTGTCCAATGCGAGATAGTTTCTCCAAACTCCGCATATGTCATGCTTTGAAAAATAGATTCACTAAGCATATGTGTCCGCACATGTCATGCTAAGCATATGTGCCCGCACATGTCATGTCTCTAAAAATAAGTTCATTAAGCATATGTGCGCACCCTGCCACAATCCCATAGCTTGGCTCGACTTCTCCTCAGCAGGAAAGGTGTCGCTACAGGTGAGCTTGGTTGGGAGATGTCTGGGGAGTATTGTGGTGCATACATACATACACAAGGCTATCTGGACGTATTCATGTAACTGTCCTGAAGTTCTACCAGATATGCACGTTAGCCGGCCGGCTGTAGGGCATCAGACAGCATACAAGGTCGAGATATGACCTTGTTAGATCATGGATACTTTCAACCTGGCACGATGTGTGCAAAGATACGCACCTATAGTTGTATCAATACGTCCAAAGTTATACGCCTCGAGATGTGTCACTACGTACAAAGTTATACACCTATAGATGTGTCAATACGTACAGAGATATACACCTAGAGATGTGTCAATACGTACAAATTTACATACCTAGAGATGTGTCAATACGTGCAAAGATATTCACCTATAGATTATAACAATGTACGTACAAAGTTTTACACTTATAGATGTACCAATTTACCTACAAAGTTATACACCTATAGATGTGCCAATGCGAACAAAGGTATACGCCTATGTGTAATATGTACATGGATGTTTGATCTTTCCACCTGGGAAAATCGGCGCGGCACAACTATAAAAGCCAGTGTTATGTATCACGCGAACAAAACATATTAGGCGTTCAGCATCCACTATTTTGTTTTTGACGATAAATTTGACGATTACATTGAAACAGCCCGCATCTGAGAACCGATTTGGTTCCCTCTTAGTTACGTGCAGTGGGAGTGCAGCGGTTGCATTTAAGATCTACCCGTGACAGGAGAGTTTTCAACAAGAACATGCACGTCCTTTAACAGGAGCACGCACGCACGTTGGTCGACTTGATACCGCATCAATGGCTTTGCTTTTTAAATACATGGTTAACTGCGGAGTCTATATCGAGATTCTTTTTTCACCGACGCCTGAAGATGAGTGTATTCGATACACTCCACTGGTTCTTGTGCGCCGTTTCGCGGATGAAGAAGGGGAGGTCGGTCTCATTGATCATGTCAAAGTGGTCCTTGAGCTCGTACTGGATGGTCTCCCGTCCCCACACAGGCTTGCCATCCTGCAATATAAAACACAACAGAGCATTATAATCAGTACCCGTCCCCACACTGGCTATCCATCCTTCAATACAAAACACAACAGAGCATTATAATCAAACCATTAGAGTACTGAATGGTGCATACAGACTCTTGTGGGCAGAACGACAAGCGGTCTGTGCTCGATATGAATGATATATAAAACCGTGCGCGCGAAGTTTGGTACACTATCTCAACAAACAAATACAGAAAAGATCCGACACACACATACTACACCTCCGCTATATGCACACGAAACATCAGATAGTCAACGACTACAGCACACATGACACACACATACTACACCTCTGCTATATGCACACGAAGCCTCAGACAGTCAACATACTACACCTCTGCTATATGCACACGAAACATCAGATAGTCAACATACTACAGCACACATGCCACACACATACTACACCTCTGCTATATGCACACGAAACATCAGATAGTCAACGACTACATCACATATGACACACACATATTACACCTTTGCTATATGCACACGAAACATCAGATAGTCAACCACTACAGCACAATAGCGCATGCGGGCGAAAAAACAAAAACAACAAAAACGAAAACAACAACAACAACAACAACAACAACAACAACAACAACAACAACAACAACAACAGCTATAACAAGAACAATAACAATAACTATAACAATAATAATACCAATAACAAGAACAATACCAATAGCGGTAACAGTAACAGTAACAATAACAGTAACAGTAACAACACAAATACCAATAAGAACACATCGGCTTTTTGAATCTACCTGTCCGTGGTATCCACCGAGCCAGTTGGCCTTGTCTGTGAACTCGGGCAAGAATGTGTAGGGCGATGCAATGACCACTACACCCCCCTGTACAACAAGCGTGGGTAGACGACGAAGGAACTTGCGAGGATCCGGCAGTCTATGTGTGCAAGTGCAGCAGATATATGAGTGTGTGTACCTGCTGTGTATCGCGGATTATTGTTGTGTATGTGTGCAAGTGCAGCAGATATATGAGTGTGTGTACCTGCTGTGTATCGCGGATTATTGTAGTGTATGTGTGCAAGTGCA